ACCTCCCAATCCAGGAGAGGCAATGGGAAGAGTCCTTCTGGGAGACACAGCCACATGGATTCTGCAAACAAGCCATTTTGGGGGAACAGAAATCAAGTCTTCCCACTGATAATTTGGCTTCCAACACACAAAACCTCTATGGTATGAAGACACTTTCCAGGTCTCCTGTCTCTGTGCCTGTCTTTGTCTGTCTCTACCTCTGTCTTGGTCTCTTATACCTCTTCTTTTCTTTTTCAATTTTTCTTTTTAGCAATTTTAAGGGAGAGCATTTTCTGAGCTTTCTAGTCCCTTCTACCCCCTTATTTTGTTACAATAATTCCCAATCCCTCTCACAACACAGGACATCCAAAGAAAAGATGCCTCCTTGAAGACAAGCCACGCAGATTTTGCAAACTATCCATTTTGGGAGAACAGAAATCAAGACTTCCCACTGATAATTAGGCTTCAAGCACACAAATCTCCCGTGGTAGGAAGACCCTTTCCAGTAATCTTTTCTGTGTTCCTGTCTTTTTCTCTCTCTACCTTGTCTCCTTCACAGATTGCTATTTCTTTTGAAAGTTTTGCTGTTTAGATTTTTAATGAAATGCATTTTCTGTGCTTTCTGGACCCACCTACCAATATATTTTGTTAAAATTCTTCCCTTTCTTCCTTACAACCCAGGAGAGGCAAATGGAATAGGCCTTCTTGGAGACAGAGCCACATGGATTCTGCAAACTAGCCATTTTAGGGGAACACAAATCAAGACTTCCCACTGATAATTTGGCTTTCAGCACACAAAACCTCCGTGGTATGAAGACCCCTTCCAGGCCTCCTGTCTCTGCACTTGTCTTCGTCTGTCTCTACCTCTGTCTCCATCACATATTCCTCTTTTTTTTTTTCAATTTTTTCTTTTAGAAATATTTACAGAAATATTTTATGTGCTTTCTGACCCCTCCTACAGCCTTATTTTGTTAAAATAATTCCTGCTCCCGTTCCCAACACAGGAGAGGCAAGGAAAAAGCACCTTCTTAAAGACACAGCCACGTGGTTTCTGCAAACTAGCCATTTTGGGTGAACTGAAATCTAGACTTCCCACTGATAATTTAGCTTCCAGCAATCAAAACTCAGGATTTGGAAGACCACTACGAGGCTGCTGTCTCTGTACCTGTCTTTGTCTGTCTCTACCTCTGCCTTGGTCTCTGTATCCTCATTTTTATTAAACTTTTACTTAGAATTTTTAAGGAAAAGTGTTTTCTCTACTTTCTGGCACCTCCTACAGCCTAATTTTGTTAAAATAATTCCCTCTCCCTCTCCCAACCCAGGAGAGGCAAGGAGAGGAAGCCTTCTTCTAGACACAGCCACATGGATTCTTCAAACTAGCCATTTTGGGGGAAATGAAATCAATACTTCCCTCTGAAAGTTTGACTTCCAGTACACAATATTCGCATGGTAGGAAGACCCCTTCCACTCCTTTCATCTCTGCACTTCTCTTTGTCTCTCTCTACCTCTGTCTTGGTCTCTGATTGCTTATTTTTTTTAATATTTGCTTTTTAGCATTTTTGTTATGGAAAGCATTTTTTTTTTTTCCGGCACCTCTTACCACCTTATTTTGTTAAATTAATTCCCTCTCACCCTCCCAACCCAGGAGAGGCAAATGGAAGAGGCCTTTTAAGAGACACAGCCACATGGATTCTGCAAACTAGCCCATTTGGAGGAACAGAAATAAAGACTTCCCACTGATAATTTGGCTTCCAGCACACAAAACATCCATGGTATGAAGACCTCTCCAAACCTCCTGTCTCTGTACCTGTCTTTGTCTTTCTCTACCTCTGTCTCAGTCTCAGATTCCTCCTTTCTTTCAATTTTTCTTTTTAGAAATATTTAAGGGAAAGATTTTTATGTGCTTTCTGGCCCCTCCTATCACCTTTTTTTGTTAAAATAATTCCTGCTCCCACTCCCAACACAGGAGAGGAAAAGAAAAAGCACGTTCTTGAAGACATAGCCACGTGGACTCAGCAAACCAGCCATTTTGCATGACCAGAAATCCCAAATTACAGTGATTATTTGGCTTCCAGCACACAAAACTCACGAGTATGAAGACCCCTACCAGGACCCCGTCTCTGTACCTGTCTTTATCTGTCTCTACCTCTGTTTCTGTCTCTTCTTTTTAAAAAATGTTTACTTTTTAGAATTTTTTAAGGGAAAGCATTTTCTCTGCTTTCTGGCATCTCCTACCACCTAATTTTGTTAAAATAATTCCCTATCCCACTCCCAACCCACGAGAGGCAAGGGGAAGAGGCCTTCTTGGAGACACAGCCACAAGGATTTTGCAAACTAGCCATTTTGAGGGAAGAGAAATTAAGGTTTCCCTCTGATAATTTGGCTTCCAGAACACAAAACTCGCAGGGTAGGAAGACTCCTTTCAGTCCTCCTGTCTCTGTACCTGCCTTTGTCTGTCTGTACTTCTGTCTCAGTCTTTGATTCCATTTATTAAAATTTTTGCTTTTTAGAATTTTTTAAGGGAAAGCATTTTCTGTGCTTTCTGGGCAGTCCTACCACCTGTTATTGTAAAATAATTCCCTCTCCCCCTCCAAACCCAGGAGAAGCAAAGGGAAGTAGCTTTCTTTAAGTTACAGCCACATGGATTCTGAAAACTAGCCATTTTGGTGGAATATAAATCAAGACTTCCCAGTGATAGTTTGGCTTCCAGCTCACAAATCTCACGTGGTAGGAAGACCCCTTCCAGACCTCATATCTCTGTAACTGTCTTTGTCTGTCTCTATGTCTGTCTCGACTTCTGTCTCATTATTTTTTATATTTTTATGGGAAAGCATTTTCTGCACTTTCTGGCCCACTCCTACCACCTAACTTTGTTAAAATAATTCCCTCTCCCCCTCCTACCCCAGGAGAGACAAAGGGGAGAGGCCTTCAAGACACAGCCACATGGATTCTGCCAAAAAGCCATTCTGGGGGGACTGAAATCAGGACTTCCCAATGATAATTTGGCTTCCAGCACACAAAATTCACGTGGTAGGAAGAACCGTACCAGTCATCCTGTCTCCATACTTGTCTTTGTCTGTCTCTATGTCTGTCTTGGTCTCAGAATCCTGTTTTTATAAAAAATTTTTCCTTTTTAGAATTTTTTAAGAGAAAGCATTTTCTGCACTTTCTGGAACTTCCTACCGCCTAGTGTTGTTAAAATAATTCCCTCTCTGCCTCCCAACCCAAGACAGGCAAAGAGAAGAGGCCTTATTTAACACAAGCCTTTGAGGGATTCAACAATCTAGCCATTTTGGGGGGTAAGAAACCAAGACTTCCCACTGATAATTTGGCTTCCAGCACACAAATCTCACTTGGTAGGAAGACTCTTTCCAGGTCTCCTCTCTGTGTACTTGTCTTTGTATGTCTCTACCTCTGTCTCGGTCTCTGACTCCTCATTTTTTTTTAAATTTATGTTTTTTAGAATTTTATAAGGGAAAGCAATTTTTGCACATTCTGGGACCTCTTACAGCCATAATTTGATAAAATAATTCCCTCTCCCCCTGCTAAGAAATGAGAGGCAAAGCGAATTGACCTTCTTGAAGACACAGCCACACGGATTTTTCAAACTAGCCATTTTGGGAAACAGAAATCAAGACTTCCCACTGATAATTTGGCTTCTAGCACACAAATTTCATGAGTAGGAGAAATCAAGATTTCCAAGTTATTATCCTTCGTCTACAAAGCAGAAAACGCGGTGAAGGAAGACTTCTTCTGGGCCCTCTGTCACTTCTGTCTTTGTCTGTCTCTACCTCAGTCTCGGTCTCTGTATAGTCATTTTTATTTAATTTTTGCTTTTTTTATTTTTTAATGTAAAGCATTTTATGTGCTTTCTGGCACCTCCTCTTGCCTAATTTTGTTAAAATAATTCCCTCTCACCTCCCAATCCAGGAGAGGCGATGGGTAGAGTCCTTTTTGGAGACACAACCACATGGATTCAGCAAACTAGTCATTTTGGAGGAACAGAAATCAAGACTTCCCACTGATAATTCGGCTTCCAGCACACAAAAACTCTGTAGTTCGAAGACCCTTTCCAGGTCCCCTGTCTCTGTACCTGTCTTCGACTGACTCTATCTCTGTTTCTGTCTAAAATTGCTCTTTTTTTTTCAATTTTTCTTTTTAGAAATATTTAAGGTAAAGCATTTATGGGCTTTCTAGCCCCGCCTACCGACTTATTTTGTT